TCACACTCAGGAATCCATGACGTCGCCTCCTCCGCGGCCAGCCAGCTCCGTGGCTCCCTCAGCCGCCAGCACAAGTCCCTGATTGTTCGGGAGAAAAGTCAGGGAGAGGGAGCGATGCGGGCGACGGCGAGGAGAAGGGGGTGGGGGCGTGGGAGTGTCCAAGTCGGCCTTGCAGGAGCTCCAGGCGGCTGTTTGCAAGGATTGCCCCAGCCAGTGCCTTCCCTAGCCCGCTGCAGCTTCGCATAAATCTTGCCCAAGGCTCCCGAGTCCCCCCACATCCCCTGTTTTCCAAACGGGCATCTCCCAGACAAAGTCACTGAGGGTCCCACACCAACACCCTCGGTGGTCGCGGGCCCTGGACACGGACCCAGGGGCCCTTCCCAGTCTCTGGGGGCCTCTGGCTGCCCAGATTTCTTGTGCTCAGGGCTGGTGGGGAGGAGGAGGGAGGGGGAGGGGGAGGAGGGAAAAGAAATAAATAACGGTGCCTTGTGTCAACTCTCCAAGATTTTTTTTCAAAGAGGTCTATTTTTAGATTCATTTAGAAAACCCAAGGTTTCCAGTGATGCTCAGAGGCTCCAGCAATAATGAAATGGCCAAAGAGACGCCGAAACCAGGCAACCCATGTGTTTACACACGCTCTGAATAAACAGGAAAATAAAGGGAAGGGATGTCATGAACTCTGCACAGTGTCCAGGAGAAGGTCCGTGGGATGCCACGCGTGGCTCCCATCAATGGGCCACAGACCCCGGAAGGCCGGCGGGGAGGGGGAGAGCTGCTGCTGTCAACATGCTCCTTCTGAACTTACCCTGAGAATGGCCGCTTCACCTGCACACAGGGTGGGAAATTGGGGGCCCACAGATAAAGCCCGCTTTGAAAATGGCCATTTCAGACACTGCTGTGGCTCTGCTAAAACTGCGGGGAGCACCAGGGCTGGTGACTCATCAGCCCCTCCCCACTTTCTGACAGACAGACTTGAACTGTAAGAGGCACTGCGAGGAGCTGGCTCCATCAGTGGGACCACGCTGTATTCCACGCCTTGGCCCACAAGAGCCTCGCTGGGCTCTCAGACAGGACCGCTCCTGGGAGATGCTGCTTCCCAAACAGTAACTGGGAAAAGCCCTCCGCCGCCCCCCACCCCAGGCCTCGCCCACCCCCTCCCCTCAGAGCCTGCTTCTGCCGGGGTGGGGTGGGGGCCTCCAGCTTGAGTGACGCTGTTTCCGCAAAGAGCAGCCGTATCTGCCCACCTGCTGTGCCCCGAGTTTCATACTACCTTACCTTAAACTCCCTGCAGCCACCCTACAAGCAGGGGAACCCTCCCTCCACTGTCCAAAAGGGAAACCAAGGCAGATGACTTGCCTTCTGGTTTCGCTGGCAAATAATGCAGTGCAGCCTGGAAAGCTGTGGGGGAGATTCTTTTCAGGAACCCTTATGGAGAGTTCCTCTGAGAACTCTGTACCCCATTATCTGAGGTAAGAACAGGGTGACCAGCCACCCTGGTTTGCCTGGGACTGAGGGGGCTCCCGGGGTGCAGGACCTTCAGTTTTGAAACTGGGGACGTCTTGGCCAAGCTGGGACAAGCTGACCATTTGGGGCATGAATGAAACTCAGCACTCAACTCCCTCTGCCCTGATCCACACAGCAAACAAGGCTACAAACCATTGTCTCTGAAGACCACCATACACAGCAAGGCTCTGAAGAGCAGCCTCTAACTCAGCACACCTACTATGTGCCAAGCCCTGAGCCAGGGACCTCGATATATGCCTGCCCTTGCCCCCCACAAGGTGATACACTGACACTGGGCTGGGGAAGGGGGGGGATAGCCCAGCTCTGTGCAGTAGGGTAGCCACTAGCCACATGCAGCTCTTTAAATTTAAAGTAATTAACAATTAAATAAAAGGTGAAAGTCTGTTCCTTGGTGCACAAGCCACATTTCAAGTGCTCAAAAAGCCACCTGCTGCTAGCGCCTACTGAGTTGGACAGCACAGAAGAGAACACCCATCACTGTAGAAAGTTCTATAGGGCAATACGGGCTTGGGCACCCAAGAGGCAGGATAAAGGGAAGGCTCTGGAAGCAGCTTCTCAGCTCTGGCCCGGAGGTGCTGACCCGCACAGTCAAATGGGGACGCTCTGAGTGCCTTCCTCGGAGCTGATGTCGACATGAGATACCAAGGACAGTAAGGCATGTAATAAAAGCCTTCCCACACTCAGGGAGTGAGTCGTGATCATGCCCTTCAGCTGCAGGCTTCCCTTTATTACACACTGTTACATCCGGGCCATGAAGTTGCCCCTTGGCAAGATCTAGTTCATTTCACCCTCCCACCCAGCCTGATGCCGGGAGCCCTGTTTACAGATAAGCAAACTGAGGCTCCATGAGTTGATGCACACACCCAGTCCAGATTGGAACCCAACTCTCTTTGGCCACAAAGCCCACGTTCTTGGCACCACAGCCCCCTGCCTCCCAGAGGCCTCCCTGGGAGCCGAGGTCTTAGAGGCCAGAAGCAAGGCAGGAAACGAGCAGGCTGGGCCCTCCTCTGCCAGACTCATTATCGGGGATAATTTTAGACTCAGTCCCACCCAGGATCAGGCCTCGGGGGTGAGTCCTGATCTCCACAGGTGCCCGGCGCTGCCGGGAGGGGGACGCCTTTTGGAACTCTGGAGAAAAAGCTTTAGCCGCGTTTTTATAGAGCCCCATCTTTGTCACCGTTAAGCATTTTTCCCCTTTAAAGCGCATTAATGTACTGCAAGGACCGGAGCCGGGGGAGTCGCCGCTGAGTCACCTAATTTGCCCTTATGGGCTGCAGCTTTCGGCTTCTTAGTTTAGCTGCTCTTTGGTTCCTCAGACAATTTCTTTCCTCTCCCAGTGCCAGGGCAAGAAATATTTTGTCCTTTTGAACTGAACCACCCACTGTTTTTCACTTCTCTCGAGCACTCTCCCTTTTTTTAAGGGATGCTCCAGGGAGGGGGGGCTGGGTGGGGAGCTTCCGCCCACTAAATTATCCACGAAAACTCCCAAAAATAGAAGCTCTCAGCTGGGGTGGGAACGCGCCAGCACATGAGGAAAAAGCGAAAGAGAAGCTAAATCAAAGCAAATAGAAGGCGTCCAGGTGGCCATGGGGAGAAAGGTCCAGGGAGACTGCAAGACATCTGGGCTGAAGGAGACCTTGAATCACCGGGGAAGCCTTTTATTAGAATCTCTTCCCTCCGACAGTCTCATAAATAAGAAACGCGGGCATTTCTGCTGAGACATCACTTACTGGTGCTGCCCAAACAGCTGATCCGACACCAGGGATGTTGAAGAGGATGTGGGCAGCTTTGAGGGCACTCACTGGTCCCCTCACTGCAATTACAGCCCAAGCGTCATCCTCACCGGTCGGTCACCTTGACCGCCAACCCCCTCGTGGCTGGAAGGTAGACGGCAGTTGGAGGTGGTCTGGACGCCCCCATGTCTCAAGCACGGAAGGTGGGACAGACTCAGGGGTATGAAAACCAGAACAGTGAGGGTTAACCAATCTCTCCATCATGTGAACATTTACTGAGTCCTGGCTGTGGGGCAGGCATGAACTCCTTGGATCCTCTCCGCAACCCTACGATCATCAGTTTACAGAGGAGGAAACTGCAGCACAGAGAGGTTATGCAGCTTGCTCTAGGTTGCACAGCAAGTAAGTGGCAGAGGTGGGATCTGAACCCAAACCACCGGGCTATAGAGCCCAGGTTCTGAGCCACCAGGCAACACTGCCTCTCACTGTCATCTCGGTTGCTCTGAGACACTCCCTGTCAAATAGCTCACCACTTCCTGGCTTACTCCATGCACCTGGCTTGGACTGAGTGGTAGGAGTGGGGTCAGAGGACAACTGGAAGACGTGGCCTGTCCTTGCTTGGTTGACAAGGTTGCTGCAATGCCGAGGGGCCAGCAGCAGAAATTGTCTCGGGACCGCAAGCGCCGTCGGAGCCATGGGAGGGTGCCCTGGGGGCTGGTGACTCTGACCGCGGGCCTCTACCTTGCAGTTGCCACCCTGACTCCTTCCTCCCTTTCTGCGGCCACATTTTCCCTCCTAAAAATCCCATCCCCACTCTTCCTCCCCACGTTCCCAGCCTTGCAGAGCACCCCCGTATCTCCCTCCTGGGGACCCCCAGAGTTCCTCGCCACTCTCTCCTGTGCCCCTCTTAGGTCCACTCTGTCCTGAAACATCTTTCCTAAACTTTAGAATTTCACGGGGACATCTGAGCATGTCACTCTCCCCTGCTCACAACTCT